GCATGTGGTGCTGGGGGATTGAACCGCAGTCCTTGTGCTTTGCTAAGCTTGTTCTAAGTAGGTGCTTTAGACCACTGAGCCATCTCACCAGCCCTTAACAATGTTTTAAAATAAAAATATAAAGCAAAACCGGCCAGATTTAGTTGTGTAACAGTTTTTTAAATCAATAAATGACTTTTTGTCACATCAATTTTCACCAAAGATAATCAAAGAAATAGTCAATTTGTCTGTAGTGCTTGATTAAGAATGAATCTTATGGCTGGAGAGATGGTGGCAGTCTCACCATCTGCCTCGCAAGCTCACTGGCCTGAGTTAGATCCCCGGTACCACATGCTGTGCTGGCTCCAAAACCGGGTGTGGTGGTGTGCCCCTGCAGTCCCTGCAGTCCCAGCACTGGGGAGGCTGAGACAGGAGGATCACGAGGAGTCTGAGCTGTGTAGCGAAACCCTGGATCAATAAATAAATAAAAAATAAAAAAATTTTCAAAAAGAATGAATCTTGTTATCTTTTTAAAATGTCTTTTGACAAGTGAATTTTATTATCACTATTTTAGAGGAGAATCAGGACCGTGGCCGACAAAACGCTTAGAGGAGCTGTGGCTAGGACACTGTTGGTGAGGTCAGCATCTCACCAGGTAACCCAATCTTTGTACCTTATGTGGCACTGTAGGGTGGCAGGCAGGTTCAGACAGCCCCAGAAACGCTCATGCCGCCTGTGCCTGAGGTGGCACACAGGGGGCTTGGCGTCTAGGGGCTGCCTCTCCCACCTGCTGGGGCTTTGAAGCCTGCCTGTTCCCGCATCTGCTCAGGCTCAGATCCAGATGAGCTCTCGCAGGTTCTGGCATGTTGCCATCCGATTTGGGTGGTGCTGACGGCCGGCGCGGGCGTGCTGAGGGCCAGACCCAGCTTCCCCTCCCTGGCTGCTGCTCAGTGGCACGGGGTTGAGCTTGCAGCTCGGCCTCCCCTGCTGCTGTGGGGGCCACACTGCGGTCACGGTGGTCTTCCGCAAACACTGAAACAATCATATTGTTCTTTAACAAACAGTGGCGACATTTTCCCTAAATCTTGGGATTTAAAATTGGGGCACAGGGACTCTGAGGAAAACAGGAAATCCCACCTGTTGTGTGGAAAACAAAAGCGAGGGGCTGCGGGGAGCAGCTTTTTCATCCGTGGGTGGGGCTTTCTCTGCACCCCCAAGCCCAAGACTAACTATGAACTATGAACACAGAATGGCGGGCAGACAAACAGGTAAGGCACAAGACAGGTTACATCAGGGAGCACTTAGAGACTCACTGGCCACGCTTTAATAATTTCATTTCTGAGTTTTACGTTTATGGCTACAGAGACAAGCCTGCTCGAATTCTCCCTGGGAAACGCCAGCTAGCGCCTCAGCACTTAGGTGACTCGGGCCAGGTCTCCTGATTCTGTTGTTAATTTAACAGGGAGAGTTAAGCTGGTCAGAGGCAAAGCAGAAGGGCAGCAGGGGGTCGGGGCAAAGCAGCTGAGGGGGTCACCAGAGAGGGGACAGTGGTGGGGGCCGGGGCTCGAGCAGGTCACAGTCAGGAGCGGTGTCAGAGCTGGAGTCAGGAAAGGTAGGAGGTGAAGGGCTCAGGGGCACTTGTGGAGGTCACTAAGCATAAGCACTGGGCTGAAGGCGCGAGGGGAGAGGAGACAGCGGGAGTGGGAGCGGGAGTGAGAGACAAAGGATATAGAGCCGTAAAGGTCTCATCGAAAAGGACTTTAGGGTTTTCCCCAGCTATGGGAACAAAGACCAAGTACAGGACAGCGTGCTAATTTAGGGGACCAGGAGGGACCAGCACTCCCATCAGGAGCTTGGACTGAGGCCAGGCGGTGCTGCACAGGAAAGTGAGACCTTGTTTTCGATGAGAGTTTGGGGGTCAAACATGTGCTGATTTTAGGAAGACAGCCCAAGGGTGAGTCAGAAGGAACAGAGGACTCGTGGGCCTTGCCGAGTGTCCGCGCACGAGCGTGAAAGGCGGGGGACACTTGTCACCCCAGAGAGGAGGAGCGCGCGGCTGCCCGCGGGCCTTCCAGGCCAGGGAGATGCACACAGAAGGCCCAGCCGGCCTGGTAACAGCAGAGCACTGGACAAAGGCGGCAGGCCAGCTCCCGGGGGTCACGCAGTGGGCACAGGTCCACCGAGGAGGAGCTGCCACGAGCCTGTGCTGCATGTTGAGGGTGAGGGGAGTCCCGAAGGGAGAGAAGCGCCCCTTACCCTTGCGGGTGGCAGCAGCTGTCCTCCTTTATGCGCTGCGTTCAGTGTCCTCGAGTGTGGCTCTGGCCGTGGCCCCTCAGTAGCATGTGGGACATAAGCCTCTCTGCAGGGAGCCAAGGGGAG